CTGAGCTGGGTGAGTACTGGCCCTTTTCTCTGACCTTTCCAAACTTTCCTCACTTCAGATAGCTGGGTAGCTAGAGAAGGGACTTAAATTTAGCAGAGACTTTGTTTCTAAAGGGTGATGATGGCCATGTGTTCTTAGCAGTTTGCTCTCCTCCCCTTCTCCTTTGTTAATTATGCAGCCCTGTGCACCCATGTCTCCCCTGGCTTCTCTTTGGAGAGAGAGGTATTAGTTATCCTGAGACCATCCCAGGGCCCAGGAAACATGGAGGGGCCTTCACTCAGGGAGAGTCCCTTTGAGCATAGTGGGTGATTGCATGACGATACTGAACATGAGTGGTTCCATTTGCAGGTGAGCGGAACCAGGAGCTGATGAGAGACCCTTTTGGCCACCATGTGGCTCGAAATGTAGCCCTGACTACTTTCCTGAAGCGCCGAGAGGCTTGGGAACAGCAGCAGGGGGCAGTGGCCAAGCGGAGGCGGGCTTTGAACTCAATACTTGAAGACTGAGGCCTTTGGATCTGGGACTGAGTGGTAATGGAGTGGTAAAGGGCATGTATCTGTCCTGTCCCCTTTGTAGTTTAAGTTGGAGTCAAAAGCCTTAATAATAAATACTTTTTTATATTTTTATTGGAACTGTTTTGTTATTTGGGGGAGAAGCGTATAAAGAAATCAAGGTCTCAGAGGCAGATAGAGCTGAATTCAGTGCATTGGGAAGCTGAGGAGCAGGAGGAGGTGCAAAGAATCGAGATGTAGCAATGATCAGGGTGGAATCGAGATGCATGCCGATGGGCTTATGGTCCTTCAGGGTAAGTGGGGGGCCGGAAAGGTGGCTAGGAAGGAAAGAGCATTCTTCAGGACAGGGTATAGGCTAGGACTCGAAGGCCTTAACAATGGTATGCCATAACAATGGGCTTAGAAGACAGTGAGGAAATCAGGTGAGTCATCTTATCTGCACTGTCCTCACATCTCCAAAGCCAATGCTGTCACAGTCCTCACAGTGTGTCTCTTGGAACGAGTCTAGGGGCAGAAAGCTCAGAGCCCCTTCTCAGTAGGGATGGAGGCGACCCTGCTGCTGCCAGTGCCACTGCTCCGCCCCTTCTACTACATGGCGGAGGCTGGAGGCAATTCCCAGCAGCATATGGCCCAGGCCTTGCAGCAGTGCAGAGGTCCAACGGAGGAGCTCCCTGAAGGGCAGAGACAAGATGGAGTTGGAAGGGTGGGAGGAGGCCATCGAGGGGGTTTTCCACAAGGGAGAGCTAATGGGGTAGGTGAGTACAGAAGGAATTAGGGGGCTGCAACTGTAGGGGGATAGGGAGACATAACCTGTTGGTCTCTGACCTGAGTACTTTCTTTGGGCCGAGTCCTTGAAAGTCACAGCTCATGGAATAGAGCCCATAGAATGTGGCTTTGATATTGAGGCTGCCAAAGAGGTCTCGAGGGTTTTGCTTGTATACGTCGAAGGTGATGCGGGCGATGTCCTTGCTGTGCTTGGGCTTCTCCCGGCCCAGGCCATATGACAGCATCCCACTCTGTAGGGCACCTCCATCAGTGCAATGCACCCCACACACAGGGAGCCACCACTATGCCCCAGCAGCACTGGGTCAGACCCACCCTTGCCTGGACTGTTGGTCCCCTATAAGGGGTCCTTGGCAAACTCCTTGCCTCTCCCAGTGCTTCTGCCCCCAAGATCATGGTTGGGCTAGAGAAGCTAGAAGAGAGAGCCAGAAAGGACTGGTGGCCAACAACAGCCCCACCGTGGGCCTCTCACCCTGCTGGGGCTCCAGTTCTGCCCACACTCCAGCACCATCAGGCATGTGTCATCCTCCAAAAGCTGGAAGAAGTCTTCACTCTCCACAGCAGTCCCATCCTCCTCCAGCACCAGTGTTAGCATCCCACTCAGGAGCAGGGCCTCCAATGCCTGCCCAGCCACCGGAAGCAGGAGGGAAACGGCAGAGCTTAGCCATGCCCTTCCCCCTCCAGCGACCCTGCATCCATTGGTTGGTCCTAGATACTGGCTGATATGCCAACTCTACTTCCTGGAAAACTGCCATCCCTTCAAATGTCTCCCAAGCTCAGTGTTCTCGGTGTTGCTGGCAGACCCTCACTAAGGGTTGATTTCTTTTCCTAATTGTTCCTATGTCATTCTCCACATCATTGTCTTCTCCTGCTCCTCCCCTCTGAGCCATTCCTACCGGCTTGGATTTGAGAAAGCTCGCTTGCTTCTGTTGAGGTCCATCCTTCGGTCTTACCTCCAGTGTCCTACCTCACTGTCCCCCACCCTCAGAGAGTCCTCCAGAACTGTTTTCAATAATAATGACCCTTAACTTTTTTGAGTCTTAGTGTCACATATCTATGTAGCACTTTACATACATTGTCCTCTTTGACTCCTTTCAGTAACTCTAGAAGGAAGGTGTATCCTTATTTCCTTTTTGTAGATGAAGAAACTGAAGTTTTGATAGATTGAACAACTTCCTACAGTTTGACATTAGCAAACCAGCCAGTTGAACTTGATTTGTCATACAAATCGCTCCACACTGACTTCTGAATGCCATTCCTCCAACCCTCCCTTTCTACTCCTTCCTCTACCCCCTGGAAAAGAAATGAATTGATCCAAGTACAGCATTGGTCATTGGGCTGACCGTCTCCCCCCACCCCCTTTCAGTCCTCAGAGGGAGGGGCAGCCCCGTACCTAACCTCAGCCTTTCTGCTCACTCCAAGTTCTTACTCTTCTCTAGCCCTCTGGCTGCCACTGCAATAGGAACTTAGGGATTTGGCTCACTTACCTTGTCTAGCAGCTCCTGGCGGGTGGCAGCTGTTAGACCTTTCCGCGTGGTCCGCTTGTGATCACAGACTCGGAAAGGTCGCTGGGGTGGTGAAGCTGAAGTCCAGACTTTCCGGCCAAACTCAGAACCCATACTGGATACCGACCTGGTAGTTGGGAAGAAAGGTCTAGAACTGAGGAGTTGGGTGACTGCAATGGGGATGATTGGGAGTGGGGTGCTTGGAGAGTTAGGGAGGGATCTGGGTTTGGAGATCAGAGTAGCCTAGGGAGAGAGGGAGAGACCATGGAGTGGGGGTGGTGAGTGGTGGTTCCATAGCTGGACAAACCCGCTGTGGAAAGTGGTGGGGAGGGGAGATGGGAAGGGCTACATGAGTCTCTGAGTCTCCTAGGGGCTGAATGGAATTTGATTGCCATGCACTATCCTCAGAGTTGGAGGGTAGAGAGGAGGGTTAGAAATCACCTGAGCAGGCCGCTGGGGTTCAGGGCTGAGAGGTACTCCATGGTGGAGGGAAGGAGCAGGAGTGTTGCCTCTCCCAGTGACTTCTGGGCTCTGTGGTTCTCTGCTGTGCTGGGGCTGAAGTGGTGGTGTTTTCTGTTAGATCTCAGCCCCAGTGAAATGGAGGATGAGTCACCTCGGACTCTGGCCTCTCCTGGTAGACCAGTAAGAAGGGCAAAGTCTAAGGGGAGGGATAGGGGAGGGAGAAAGGAGGGGCCTAGATGGGACCATGGAGGAGGGATTGAGGCCCAGAGTTGCCTGCAAAAGTCACTGAAGCTTGTGTGTGTGTGTGTGTGTGTGTGTGTGTGTGTGTGTGTGTGTGTGTGTATGGTGGCAGTGTGTGCTGAGGATAAATGGGAATGATGTAAGAGGACAGGATGTGATCTCTGGTCTTTTTCTTTCTATGGAGAGAATTTCTAGGGATTGTTTCTGGCTCCCAGCCCTCAGTGGCGTTCTGTGATTTGTGCTGGACTTGCTGCCACCTACTGTGAGAGCCACAAACTGCAGCTTTGGGAAAAGGGAGGCCCTGCTGAGGGTGGGATAGTGGGCAGGGCTTGGGCACTGGTGTCCTGGCTCCTTGGGAGCCCCCAGTTCCAGCTGTTGACTGGGCAGTTGTCTTCCCCCTTACTTCCATTTTTATAAGTGTACCAGGTCCACCTGAATTTTCTGCATTTCCAGGCTTTGCCTGACCTCTTCACCCAGAGAAGTTTCTTGTCGGCATGGTTCTACAAACGCACCTTTTCTTTTCTTCCTAGCTTGTATCCTGGTGGAGCCTGGTAGCAGGGTGTCTTGGAGGTTGTATGTTGTGATTCCTCAAGGAGGTTATAAGCCCCTCCATGAGTCCTCCAGAACTCAGCACCATGACTGGAAGTTGTCACTGATAGGCCAGTGAGAAACCCCGGTGGGGACAGGGGGATGACAGGAGCAGGGCCTGAGGTTAGAGATGAGAGGAGTAGGTAGGAAACTGAGGAAAAACGAGGGCTCAGCAGGATCAGAAGTCTGGAAATGGGCCAAGACAGAGCAGCCGGGGGAATGAGTAATCTGGGTTCACCTTCTCTGCTAAGTGCAGGCCCGGGAAGGCTGAGAACATGTAACAGGCGGGCAGCAGGACTGGGACAACTGGGGCCAGAAGTGGGGGAGGAATGAGTGCAGAGGCAGGACCCCAACTCAGGACTCAGCAGTGTCCCTACTCACCTACGTGATCTGGGAACCTAATCTGTACCCTGCAGCTTATCCTGTTTCCTAGGGAGGCGGACTCTCACACGCCTGGACGTGTTAGTGATGGGAAAGAGGAGAGTGCCGGAGGGGCCCCAGTGAGAGGCCGGAGAAGAGCTCCACCTTATCCCTCGCCATTCTCATCTCACAGGGCAAACCTGACAGGCGCAGGACAGGAGCAGGCACATCACCCACTGTGGCTGTGCCTTTCAGCTTCCCCAGGCTCCTGGTGGGCCCAGGATCCTACTAGCTCCTGATTGGGTAAGTCGATCTGCTCATGCACTTGGGACTTCCTACCACTCACCTTCGGTGAGGTAGAAGGAATGGGGCTGGGCAAAGGAGGGCCCAGCTACAGGGGTGGAGGTGGAGGTAGTGAGAGCCGGGGAGTCAGGACTGGGAGGTGGGGGGTGGTCAGCAGACTGACAGCAGGGATTTGGGTTCCAAGAAGCAGTGTTTGAGCTGGGGCCAGGGTCCACCAGGAAGTAAAGTCAAGGCTCCTAGACGGAAGACAGGGAAGTGGGGGGAGACACAGTCCCTTCTCCCCTGGCAGAAGGGGCCTTTGCCCCACCCCCTCAATGCCTTCTATGGCCCTTTCCGTGCCCTCCCCCTCCCCAGGCGTGGAAGAATGCTGGCCTGCTACCGACCCCCAGGGAACGAGACGCTCCTGAGCTGGAAGGCCTCAAGGGTCACGGGCACGGCCTTCCTGCTGCTGGCGGCGCTGCTGGGGCTACCCGGCAACGGCTTCGTCGTGTGGAGCTTGGCGGGCTGGCGGCCCGCACGGGGGCGACCGTTGGCGGCCACGCTCGTGCTGCACCTGGCGCTAGCCGACGGCGCGGTGCTGCTGCTCACGCCTCTCTTCGTGGCCTTCCTGGCCGGCCAGGCGTGGCCGCTGGGCCAGGCGGGCTGCAAGGCCGTGTACTACGCGTGCGCACTCAGCATGTACGCCAGCGTGCTGCTCACCAGCCTGCTCAGCCTGCAGCGCTGCCTGGCCGTCACCCGGCCGTTCCTGGCGCCCCGGCTGCGCAGCCCGGCCCTGGCCCGCCGCCTGCTCCTGGCCGTCTGGCTGGCCGCGCTGCTGCTCGCCGCGCCGGCCGCCGTCTACCGCCACCTGTGGGGAGACCGCGTGTGCCAGCTGTGCCACCCGTCGCCGGCCCATGCCGCCGCTCACCTGAGCCTGGAGACGCTCACAGCCTTCGTGCTCCCCTTCGGGCTGGTGCTCGGTTGCTACGGCCTGACGCTGGCGCGGCTGCGGGGCGCCCGCTGGGGCGGTGGGCGGCATGGGACTCGGGTGGGCCGGCTGGTCGGCGCCATCGTGCTCGCCTTCGGCTTGCTCTGGGCCCCCTACCACGCCGTCAACCTCCTGCAGGTCGCGGCCGCGCTGGCTCCGCCCGGAGGGGCCCTTGCGAGGCTGGGCGGGGCGGGCCAGGCTGCGCGAGCCGGGACTACTGCTCTGGCCTTCTTCAGCTCCAGCATCAACCCTGTGCTCTACGTCTTCACCGCCGGGGATCTGCTGCCCCGGGCTGGCCCCCGCTTCCTCACGCGGCTCTTTGAGGGCTCGGGAGAGGCTCGAGGGGGCGGCCGCTCTAGGGAAGGGACCATGGAGCTCCGAGCTACGCCTCGGCTCAAAGTGGTGGGGCAGGGCCGGGGCGATGGAGACCCCGGGGGCGGAGTGGAGAGGGACAGTCAGGGATGGGATCCTTGACACCAACGCCTACGACCTGGCCTGCCTCTTCCCTGTCCCCTTCCATCGCCCCTCCCCCAGAACTCAGGGAACCACTCTGGAGGGTTTGGGGACCCTTCTCTGGCCACAGTTTGGATCTTTCTGGACAGGCCTAGCTCCCTCCAAACGGAGTGACTGCAAGGAGTGATGGTGTTGCGTGCTTGCAGGTTGTCCTGGGCCCCTGTTGGAGAGCTGCTGACTTGCTGCCAAAAGCTACTGTGAAATAAAGGGGGGGCATCACGTGATGGCGTAAGCATGCCCCCACTGGTGGTTCATCATGACTGACTTGTACCCAAGCCACCTGGTTCTCTGCTGGGTCAGCCCAAGGCTGGGCACCGCCAGCCTTCAGTGGCATCTTGACTTGTCCTCCCCAGCCCAGGTGGCCTAGTTCCCCCAGGCCAACCCATTGAACCACTCTGGAAATAAAGGGAGAAAAAAAGGAAAGCTATGGGTAGTTGAATGACAGATGGGGACGGCATCCATTCTCTGGGGTCTGAAAGAGCTGAGGGGAGAAAAACCTGGTTCTGGAAGAAGAAAGACCATCCGTGGGGCTTGGAAGGAAAGTTTTCCCATCTTGTGTCTGGTACAGTGGGGAAGGAGCCCTGGGCGTCATATTTGTCTTCCTCTCTGAATCTGACTCTTCCCCCAAAGGTCACCTGACTCAAAAAGGACCCCAGGAGACTGCACATGCTCACCCTGGGGACGTTTGAGGCCTAGGGCTGAGCAGGTATGGGGAATGGTGTGGATGGCTGGAGGACAGGAATTTTTCAAGGAGGCACTCCCCTTCTTTGTCTTTTTTTCTCTCTGCCAAATCTTGACTCCCCCAAGAACTCAGCACTCTCTAATACTTCTTCGCCCCCATCTTTGGGAGTCTTTCCATCTCTAGGTCCCGAAGCTGTTTTGGATCCAGACGCTTTTGGGTTTGGAGAGGTAGGATAGGATTCATTTTTAGAGGGTGTCCACATGCACACACATGTGGTCACTAGATTGACCAACTCATCAGGTTAGCCCAAGACTTTCCCAGTTTTAGTGCTGAAAGCCTCTTGTCCTGGTCCCCTCAGTCCCTGGCAAACATCACTGGCTGGTTACCTGAGTGCTGCCTCGGACCGTCACCCCAGGTTCTGCTTTAGTCACTGTTTACACCACCCAGGCAGAGGTCAAGAAATAGCTAAGGAAATTCGGTCCTCAGGGTCACGCCAGGGCCACCCAAACTGGGGCGGGGTGGAGCTCTGGATGTGGGGGTCAGGAAGTACGCTTAGAGTAGCTAGTCTGGGGTGGAGAAAAAAAGGCCATTGAGAGACATGGAGGTGGGGAGTAGTGTGGGACAGGAGGCAAAGACAGCTCAGCTTCTATCAGATGGAGCCTCTGGTTGACCCTGGAGCCGTGAGTCAGAACCTCCCCAGACATGGACAGCAGGGGCTTCTTCCGGCTCTCATGTGCAGGGGCAGAGGCTCCCTAACTTCCTCTCTTCCAAAGTCCCCGTCTCACAACTGTGATCAGAAGGCCCTTCCTCAACCCTGCCTTCCTGCTGCGGTTTTAGCCCATTTCTTTGCATCACATCCTCTGCCTCACAGCTACTGGGTCGGCTCTGCACCGGGCTTTCCTCAAAGCAGAGAAAGTGGGCTTGCTGCGAAGGGTAAAGGACCTCCATGACCACCATCACAGGCCGCATCTTTCCTGACAAGTGACAGAGTTGGCAGGGAAGCAGGAAGGCTCACAATCAGATTGAAGGAAAGATGTTTCGGATGTTAACCCCTGCAGGAGAGGTCAAAGCGGGAGACTGCCCTCCCTCCAGGAAGGGAGAAGAGTGACCATTTGGGGGGGCTGTTCCTCCTTGCACATTCCTGGTTTCCCCTCCTGGCAGGGCAGGTGTGAGGCATCACTGCCACTACCTCCTCTCCCTCTGCTCAGCCTCTACTTTTTCTGTGTGTCTAAGGTGGGACCAGACAGCCAACCATGGGAAGGTAGGAAAGAGGTGCTGCTGACCTCTTTGACCAGTGCCCAGATCTTAAATCCAGATTCATGTGGCAGGGAAGCCACATGGGCAAGTGTAAGGCAAGTGGCTGGGGAAGGGGGCAGAATCTGAAATTCTGTGGGATACTAAGGAGATCCTTTGGACTTCAGCTTCTGCCAAAGGGAAGGGAGAACTGACTGACCTAGAGCTGAAGCAACCGCTTTAAATGAGGGAATAGATGCAGGTGCTGGAGGAGGGCCTTCCCCCTCCAACTCCATTCATGGCTTGAACCCAAGCCAAAGACAGGATGCTGTTCTCTTTAAGCCCTGATGTTACCTAAACCCAAACCCATAACTTAGCCACAGGTCTAACCTACACTTCCTATTAACCTAAAAATCTACATTATTTACACAGTGGTATAAAGATACCCATAGGGGCACCTGGGTGGCTTAGTGGGTTAAAACCTCTGCCTTCAGCTCAGGTCATGGTCTCAGGGTCCTGGGATCAAGCCCTGCATCGGGCTCTCTGCTCAGCGGGGAGCCTGCTTCTTCCTGCCTGCCTCTCTGCCTACTTGTAATCTCTATCAAATAAATAAATAAAATCTTTAATAAATAAATAAATAAAGATACCCATATTCTGGCCTCTCAGTCTGAGCCCATTTCCCTTCTTGGGCGTCCCTCCCTCCTTCTCCTGTATGACAGTTTAGTACTCTATCCAACTCTCTAGTCTAGACCTGCATCTGAGGCCACACCCCAACCTACTCACTCCCCTCACCCCTTTCCTCTCACTGCAACTTCCTGGGCTCTTCTCATCTGGTCCTACCCCTGAGGAGTCTTCCTCCCTACTAGGCTCTTCTGGAACACGAAGACTATTCTCCTCCACCCCACAGTGAAGGGAGGGATAGGACTTTCAGCCCCACCCTCAGCATGATGTGTCTTCCCCCTCCTCTGCTTCTTGGTACTTCCTCTCTGGCAGACTTAGCTGACAGCAACCAGACCGGGGGCTGGGGACCCTGGAACAGGGGCAGGTCTGGGAATAGGCTACGCCACTCTGCCCCAGCCTTGAGATTGGCAACAGCTTCCCACCGGTACCCGGCAAAGCCTGGAAGTAAGTATCCTAGGGGTAGGGGAGGTATGAGGCAGGATACAACCGTGAGAGAAGGTGCAAAGGAATTTCCAAAGAAGGCCTGAGCAGTGGTTAAAAGGACGGGGGAGGACTTGTTCTTGTCTCGTAGCCTCAGACTCCTCCCCATCCCCGTTCTTCCTGGTGGGCCCTGGGCAGCTCTGGAGAGAGTTGGTCAGTGACTGGAGGAAGTCAGTGGGACTGAGGGGGCTAAGGGCCTGGCAGGTGACAGAGAAATTAGGCTTTTGAGGGGTGCAGCTTTGATAAGGAAGGTTCCCATCCCCCATGTGGTTCTGGGTCTCACAAGGGAAGGAGGCAGAAAGGGTATGAAAGTACTGCTGCTGCTGTTGCTCCATATTTTGCAATTGGGTCCGTGGGCAGGAAGAAGCCCCATGATCCAGTTAGAAAACCAGTCTTTGTGCTCTGCCAGGTCCCCTGAAGACAGGTCCGTTGATGAAGTGCTGAAGGCAATATATCGTAGAGGTGCATCTGCCTCTGCTGATTTTGGAGATGGACTAGAGTACTCAGGCTAGGTGTCAGGAAACGTTGGTTCCCTACCCTCATGCCTGTGTTCGCCCTCACCCTCCAGGTCCTCGCAGTGGCCACGGACCCTACATCTTGGGCAGTACCTCCTCACTAGGGGTCATGTTCATCGTTCCGTTGACTATCATCCTACTGTCAGTGGCGCTGGCTGTGGGGCTTCCAGGCAACAGCTTTGTGGTGTGGAGCATCCTGGTAAAGATGCGGAAGCGCTCTGTCACTGCCTTGTTGGTGCTGAACCTGGCCTTGGCAGACTTGGCTGTATTGCTTACTGCCCCCTTTTTCCTCTACTCTGTGGCCCAGGGCGCATGGGGTTTTGGACTGTTTGGCTGCCGCCTGTTTCACTATACCTGCGGAGTCAGCATGTACGCCAGCGTCCTGCTGATCACGGCCATGAGTCTGGACCGCTCGCTGGCAGTCGCCCTCCCCTTCGTGTCCCAGAAGGTTCGTACCAAGGCCGTTGCCTGGTGGGTGCTAGCAAGCATCTGGGTGATGTCCTTTCTGCTGGCCATACCTGTCATTATGTACCGCAACGTGAGCTTGAGACAGGACAACCAGACCCGCTGCTTCCCAACGTACTCCAGCGAGCGAGCCAAGGCATTCCATCTGCTCTTCGAGGCCCTCACTGGCTTCCTGCTGCCCTTCCTGGTGGTGGTGGCCAGCTACTCGGACATTAGGCGCCGGCTGCAGGCCCGGCGCTTCCGCCGCAGCCGCCGCACGGGCCGCCTGGTGGTGCTCATCATCCTGGCCTTCGTCGCCTTCTGGCTGCCCTACCACCTGGTGAACCTAGTCGACGCGGGCCGGGTGCTGGCCGGCAGGGGCGCGGCGCCCGTGGGAGACCCACTGTTCCTGGCGCGCCACGTGTTCATCGCGCTGGCTTTCCTGAGCAGTAGCGTGAACCCGGTGCTGTATGCGTGCGCCGGCGGCGGACTTCTGCGCTCGGCCGGCGTGGGCTTCATCGCCAAGCTGTTGGAGGGCACCGGCTCTGAGGCGTCCAGCACCCGCCGCAGGGGCACCCTGGGCCAGACGGTGAGGGGCGCCCCCGCCCCTTCCGAGGCTGGCCCCTCTGGGAGCCTCGCCGACTCCATCGACGCTCTCCAGTGAAGCGAACTGAGCTAGCCCTGGGGGTTGCTGGTGGTGGTGGCGCTGCTGCTGGTAGAAGGACGCTGGCGGTCCTCGCGGCAGAATGTTCCCCACATTGGCCTGACCCAGTTTACCTCGAGGAGAAGGAGGAGTAGAACGGGAGTGGGGTGGAGCGGAAGAGGGAGGGGAGGGGCGGGGCGGGGCAGGTAAGGGCAGAGTGAAAGCCTGGAGCCGCTTTGAGATTAAAACTGCTATCACGTTGGGTCAGCCCTGTGTGGGGCACGTGCATTAGGGGCAAGAGGGATGCTCCTGGCACTCTTAGCGGAGGGGGTCCTTCTCAACAGGTGAAAGGCACATCCTTTAGTTTCCCGTGATTTTCAGTTTGGAAAGGGACACAAAGGCACAGAAACCAGAATCCCCTCTCCTCCCACATTCCGAGGCTCTGCAGATCATCCTTGGAACTACACAGGGCTACAGAGCCCTGAAGGAGCTAACCAAGGAAGACCACCCATGAGGGCCCATCAGCCCAGACTCCCTGAATCAGCGGGTGTTCTAAGTACACTCAGCCCTGCTGTGGGACTTCTACCCTGAAGCTTGTGATGGGTATCACTGTTACCATGACTCCAACTTCCTGCTACTCATCTTTGTCCTTTCAGTGGGCAATGTTCTAGGGGACTTCCCTCCGTTTTCCAAAGAGGTCTCACTTGAAAACAAACTCATCAGATCTCAGTCCGTGGAATTCTGCACATCAGCTTTCTGCCATTACCCAAAATACACTCTGATGCCCTCCGTAACCCTGGTCATTCTTAGGAAATTAAGATTCCTGTAAGTGAGAGAGTTAAGTCTTTCTTCCTGAGTGATGACTGTTGTTTTAGAGAGCCTGAGACTGGTTCTGTTCCAACTGCAATTTAGGAAGATGGTAGAAGTGGCAGCAGTGTACTTTCGTAATCTCTCCTGTAAAGAAAGAACTAGGAGAAAAACCAAGAATCCATGTGTAACATCTGTAACAAACCTAGGATGTCAAGGTATTGCTCACAGACTCCAAATATGAGCAAGGAGGAATGAACCAGGGATACTTCAAGACCCATCTAAATCAGCACCTGCAGAAGGAAGCTAGAGGGTATCTGAGGGACCTGAGAACAAGAGAAGCCCCAAACTGTCTACATGTCTTGGCTGGAAAGCATGGGTCAATTTGACAACAGGGAGGGACCCAACAGATCATTTCCCAGACCTCTAGTGCCCATGCTGTCTTGGAAGCACAGAGTAGATGTTTATTTAGTGTTTATTGAATGAATAAAGATCAAATGACATTTTCCTAGCCAATATTTGTGGGTGGGAAACAGGAAAAGACAAATCCTTATTTTGAGCCATGTGGCTAAAATTCTTTATGCTTCCAAGGTGTACAAAATGCTGGAATCAGGCAGGGAGACCGAGGCAGTCCTCTTCCTGAGCTTGTGAAGAATCACTCCTTTCTAATACACTCATGATCATACTCGTGTATGGACACTCAGTTTAGCTTGGGAAGAAGCATCCTGCTGAGAGGCAAGGTGTTCTGTAGCTATACCAGGAGCTGCTGCTGCTGCTTCTTTTTTAATAGATAGAGGAGAGAAAGAAGGGGCAGAGGGAGAGAGAGAATCTTAAACAGGCTCCATACTCAGTGCTGAGCCCAATGTGGGGCTCAATCTCACCACCTTGAGATCATGACCTGAGCCGAGATCAAGAGTTGGACACTCAACCCACTGAGCCAGCCAGGTGCCCCCGGAGTCTTTTTATTGAAGATCTTAGAATAGAGAGGATGGGTGGGGGTCTCAGGCTAGGGTGGCTGAGGGAGGGCCAGTTCGTGTCAAATCTGTGTTCAGGAAGTAGGTGCAGAGCTGCCCTTTGCCTTTGACCTTGATGATGCCCCGGCTGTAGCACGTATAGCCTAAGGACTGCAACACCCGGGCTGTCTCTTCAGTCACCTGTGATTGAAAGGGTGTGAGCCTGGAGTGTGGGGGTAGCCCTATCCCCTCCCCCAACCCTGTGCCTCCAATGTGCCTCCTCACTTGGATCTTGCCCAGGACTCCTGTACTCTCCATGCGGCTTGCAACGTTCACCGTGTTGCCCCAGATGTCATACTGAGGCTTCTGGGCCCCAATCACTCCAGCAACTACAGGTCCATGGTTCAACCCTGACAAGAGGTATGGTAAAGAGGGGCCCTGGGAGGTGGTGGGGGGAAGATTTGAGGAGGGAGAGAGGAGAAGGAAGCTCCAGGACTTATGGTGAAGGACCTGGAGATCTCAGAAGAAAGGAGAATGGGTCTGGAGGTATGTGGCTTAGGGAAGGGGTAGCTGACCCCCAGAGATCCTGGCCCAGCAGCTTCATGCTCTGCCTCCAGGGATGAGGCTGGAGGGGGTCCAGGGATGAGATGGAGAGTAGCTAACAAATGACTTGGGGGAGGAAGAGTCTAAGAAGGTGAAGAGGAAGTCCCAGACTGGCCCAGCAAGAGAGGGCCCTCACCCACACGCAGGCGGAAGTTGTTGAATGAGTGCTTATTGATGACATCCAGCTTTGATCCAAGGGCCACTGCAAACTCCACCATGGTGCCCAGGTGGCTGCAGCTTCGCTCAGCATCCTAGCAATGGGCCGGTCCACCAGGATGGGGCAGTGAGGGCCCAGCAGTGCAAGCCCAGAGAGGGGCTGGTAGGCGAGGAAGGGAGGTTGTACCTGCTGTGTGTCCTGTCCAGAGGTGGCATTTAAGCCTGTGGCTGCCATGTAGGTGCTGCCGATGGTTTTGATCTTCTCCACCCCACTAAACTTGGGCTTTGAGAGCAGCTGTACAGAAAGGAGGTTGTGTCCCCAGTCTTTCTTACTCCCTCCCTCCTCCATCTCAGAAGCCCAGTCCCAGGCCTTTAGAGACAAAGGACCAGGTTGGGGGGTCAGGGAGTGTGGCAGGAGGGAGACTGTATCATGGGAAGAGTCGCTGGAGAGCTGGGGATCAGAGGAGCGGCAGGGCCAGGGAGAGGAGCATGGGCCCCTGGCCGGAGAGCAAGTGGGCAGGAGGGACTGGTGGGAAATTCTAGCACCCAGGACTGGGGGACCCTTGGAGCTGTCACCTCATCAAAATCTGCAATGATCTCATTGAGCAGCCGCAGACACTCTAGACCCTCGTGGTTGATGTTGGATTCAGAGTAAAATTCCTTGAAGTCTGGAACTGAGGCGAACAGGACACAGACACACTCGTAGGATTGGTGGTAGAGGTCCTGGAGGGTGGGAGGCTGGGATGAGGGAGCAAGCCACATTCTCCCCCCTGTGGGTCTGCATGGGCCCCCTTCCCTGTGTCCATACTCTTACTCCTCTATTTAAGAAGGATTGGAAAAGAGGGAGAGGGATAGGGCCAGGTTACCCTGGATGTGTGACTCGGTAGTCAAAGATTGAGTCTCATTATCATTCCAGGAGAGATAGGGGTTTGGAGTCAGGGTCACCTCATAGCAATGTGAGAGGTGCCTCTTCAAGAACTGGGATCATATCAGTAGGAACTGTCTTTCTGTCCTATCTTACTGCTCATGGGTATTAAGCCAGTTAACTCAATTTACAAAGATAGCTTCTAATTTGGAAGATAAAATAATAGGGGAAATGTGACAAAGGAAAAATAAAAGTAAGACAGGAAAGATGGAATCCTATTCGAAGTTGGTTCACAAAAGGGGTGACACGAAGTCCTTGTCAGTCCTAGGTTCTGGCTCTGGGCTTTCTAGCAGCCTGTGTGAAGACAGAAACAGGAACAGTTACAAGAGTCCCAGTATAAATAAGAGTAGCGGAAGTAGATCTACTGCCAACTTTGAGTGCAGAGAGGAACTGGTGGGGGCATAAAGCTGTGAATAGACCCTGACATGTTTCTTTTAACATTCCTCAAGACAGGCCAACAGTATCTCCATAGCAGACAGGGAGAAGTTCAGGCAGTACAGGCCAAATGGCGCTAACATGTGGGTGACCTTCTCTGATGGTCTGACTAGAGAGCATTTGAGGATGGAGATTAACATCTACCAATGGAAATTCCTGTGGTAGGAAAGTTCTGAGTATGTGATGTCTGATATGGTTGCCATTGGCCATAAGCAGCTCTTAGACACTTGAAATGTGGCCAGTGAGGCTAAGGCCCTGAATGTTCCATTTTAATTAACTTAAATGTAAATGGCCCCACATGGCTACTGGCTACCATCCTGGATAGTGCAGGTCCAGAGGGCTGGGTGTATGTTCTCCATACATCTCCCATCAACACTCGAAGAAGCTTCTGGAAGGTATGAAGTGGCCATGGGTTGGAGAAGACACTCCTTCTAAGTAAGTACTTGGAACGCAGAGGTTCTGTGCTGAGCAGACTAAGCCTAAGAGCTTATGAAAACAGAGGCACCTACCTGACAGGGACAGGGACCCGGGCGGCCACCCAACCCAATGTGGGGGAGTCCAGAGATGATGGGCCGAGGGCCAAGATTTTCATCCAAAATTAGTTCCTGTGGCATCTGGGGCTCAGAAGTCAGGGGTGGGAATCACCTCATTGCGCCGGTTCTGGCCGATGAACTGGGGGGCCACGTGTGCGGGGAGCACATTCTCTAGCAGCAGCCGAGTCAGGTTCTCCATTGTTTCTGTCTCCTCCTGCTCCTGCCGCAGCTTCTTCTTCCACAGAAAATCCAGGCGGCAGTAATACTCGTTCTGGCAAGGTCACCAGGGGCCCAAGTGGAGACACGGTGCAGGGGGAGCCTCAGCTCCTGAGTGTTCACCCCCCACCGACTCCATGATGCCTCAAACCATACCACTCCCCAATCTAGAGAGAAGGCCTAAGGGCTGACTACCCTGGGGAGGCTACCTTGGAACTAGATTCAAACTAGACAGACTTGGCAGCAGATTTTTTTCTCATGGGTGGTTTTCTTGGACTTGGGGTGGGAGGGACGAGGGAGGGAGAATTTGAGGGCACCTCCCTTGGGGAGTGAAGGAGAAAGAAAGGGAGCAGGAAGGTTCACTTAGAAGCTTCCGGTGGACACACTATTTGGGCTCAACCCTGAAGATGTAAGATTGAGGGAAAGGGTGAGAGAGACCAAGCCACAAATAAGGGGACCCCGCCTCCCCCTTTAAAGAGAAGCTCTGTTGGGTTGAGCTGGGTGACTTACCTGCCGAGCCAGGACAAGGAGGGTGAAGAAGAAGATGAAGAAGGAGACAGCTCCCATGAGTTTGGGCTCCTTCAGCACCCCTGGCCTGAGGAGGCCATGGATCAGGGTTGCCCCTTGCCCTGCCCCTTCCCGATGGCCTCCTCCCTACCCCCAGTGCCACGTAACCCTTAGCCACCCTCCCCCTTTCAGGTCAGTGAGGCGAGGACAGCTTTGGGCACCTCTGTTCCGTGGCGATGCGCACCTGGAGTCCAAGGGATCTGGATAGAGGCGGGCGATAAGGCAGTCGGACAACCAGGCATGGGAGTGCAGGAAGAGGGAGCAGGAGGCCCCCAGCCACAGCAGGAGCAGCAGCAACTTCAGCTCAAAGCTCATGTGCAGAAAGAGGGAGCAGGACAGGAACCCCAGCACGCAGCAGTGCATAGAGTACTGTGGGGCGGGGTGGGGCTGTCAAGGGGTGGGGCATATGCCACATGCCGGGGTGGGAGAATATTTCAGGGCTCCTGTCCCACCGTTCCCAGGGGCCAGGTCTTATCTGGGGACAAGGAATATCATACACACAAACACACACCAAATGTGTTTTATATCCATCCCAATTCACAGGATGGAATGTTTTTCAACTAAAGGGGCAGCAGACGGGCAAAGGCAGGCTCCAAATAAAGTGATTCAGGGCTGTGAGGAACACTCACCGGGACACTGATGAGAGGCAGAGACCCAGGGAGCTCCCAGGAGAGGTTGAAAGCCACGGAGGACACATTGGGAGCCCGGGAAGGGCAGTTTGATGCTGCCGGTAGGAAGAACTGCAAAAGGAGGTAAAGAGCTGCAGTGGGCAGGCAGCTCCTGGGGCCCAGCGGTGGCTTGTGCTGGGTTTCGGCTGACCTAGGGATGAGGGCCAGACTCCTCCAAAGGGGGAGGTCCTGCCATTTCTGACTGGTGGGGGAGCCTTAGCGCTGGGGTCCTTGCTGGGCAGTCTGGGATGGGAGGAGAGGGTGTCCTGAGTGCTAGTCTGCCAGTGGAGCCACTGTGTGATCTCTTGCCAGCCACTTAACCTCTCTGGGCCTCAGCTTCCTCTTCTGTGACTTGGCTAGGGCGTGATTCCTAAGGTGTCTTTCAGGGATAGAATTCTGTAAGTTCTGAAAAATCTGCTAGACTCAGCTACAAAATCATAGTGAGTGAGCTAAACAGCGAATATCTGCCTACACAGAAAAGATAGGAAGGATGTCCACCAGAGAGCTATGAACAATTATACAGGTGGCAGATTAATTTTTTTCTTTATACTGCATCCAACATTGCCAGAAACCCCTGGCCTCAGTGCAGCTGCTCTCCCAAATCCAGGGGTCCCCACTCAGCCTCTAATGGGTCCAACAGGCCCTGACGGGGCTGCCTGGGGCCCCCTCTTGCCCTCACCAGGCTGGTAATAGCCATAACAAAAACGAGGAGGATGGTGGCAGTGCCCAGGGCAACTCGCAGTCCGGGCCGGGTGGCCACCAAGCCAGACAGTGTGGGAAGCCAGTGTAGCATCTTGGGGCCTTTCAAGACACACTTCTGTGGAAGGAGCACAAGAACCTTAGCCATGTGGCTGGGGTACCCCACCTCAGGCCAGGTCGTGGTAAGGGCCCAGCTCACCACTTCCACCCCCCCGGCCCAGCTCACCACTTCCACCCCCCCAGCCCACCTCACCGTCAGGTGCTCTGAGAAGCAGACGAAGAGGAGGAGGAGGAAGAGAAGGAAGGTGATGCTATAGGTGATGGCCAGAGCTGGGGGCCTAAAGGGAGACAAGAGTGAGTGAGGCCTTGAAGGGTCAGAAGATGCTCTGTGTGCTGGGAGGGTGCTGTGCACCCTGGCTGGGAGATGTGGGGAGGAACAGTCCTGGGGATCTGAACTGGCCCCTGCTGGGGTCTGCGCTGATAAAAGGCATTGCATGCCAACGATCCAGGAAAGCTGAGGGGGTGTAGGGCGGTGGTGGGGTGGGGCAGGAACAGTACTGGAAGGCGGCAAGGGGCTCACGAGGGGCCGAGGCTGCATTAAGCCAGTCTCTGAGCCTTCAGGCCAAAGCTCTTCCACCTGGCTGCGTTTTAGACAAGTCCTTGCAGCCCCTCCCAGCCATGGGCTAAAAATGAGGACCTGCTTCCTAGGCTCATCAGCTATGAGATTTGGGCTTCTCAATGAAACAGAACCTGTTTCATGGAAAAGTGATCAGGACCCAGAGATAGGCATGTGAAAGTGCTCAGATTACGTAGACAGTCCACAGGATGTGTGATAGTAAAAATGAAGGCTGTGATTATCACTGCTTCCCCAGAATACATACTTCCTCTGTGGCTCCGCGTCTGAAGCCAAAGGGAAGTAGGTAAAGGAAGAAAGCGTGGGTCAAGGATCAGCAGGAGCCTGGTGGTCTGTGTCCGAGACTCAGGGCCACCCTTGCCTGGGGCACTCACCTGTTGGTCACCAGCATCTGGATGATGAAATTGGAGAGGAAGACCAGGAAGGTGCAGGCTGCATAGTATTTGAAGGCGGGGAGGGCAGAGAGTCGATACTGGAAGGACAGGGGTCAGTGTGGCAGCAGGAGTGACCAGGGCTGCCCGTAACCTTGGCAGTGTCCACTGCAGGCAAGGAGCAGGTATCCCATCCTCCCATTCAGTCTCAGGTAGCTGCTATGGCTCTCCTAGGAGCCGGCCTCTTCCCTCCCATCCCCACCTAGTAATCCAATCTATAGGGTTACCTCCATTTGGAGAGAGGCACAAGTCCCTCAACCTAGAATCACAAACTGAGCAGACCTGAGGGATGAGGTATGACCATGGGGCTTGCCAGCTCTCCAAGGCCAGAAAGGCCTTGGAACTAAGGCTAGAAAATTCTCCACTGCCGCCCCCCACACCCACCTCTTTCTCCAGCTCCTTCTCTCTGAAGTACAGTGTCAGTGGGCTGAAGTCCTTTGACTGCTTCCATTGTCTGGCGGGAGGTGGGGGGCAGTGAGCCCCAGAGAGGAAAGGGCAGGGCAAGGCGGGTGGGGGGCCGTGGTGGCCAGATGTGTGTTTTCCTGGGCTGGAGCAGGGAAGCTGCTCCCTTCCTGCTGGGTCATCAGGGGAACACACCCGTTTGCTACCTGGGGGCCCAGCTCCACACCCCTCCCAGCTGCCTTCTGTTCTCCATACTTCTGAGAGTTGAGCTGTTCGATGACTTGGAAGAACTTGGCATCCCCAGTATCCAGGTCTTCATCTAGTCCCCGGGGGGTACGGCTCCTGCACAGTGAGAGCCCAGCCTGTCACCACAGGAGACCCTCCACAGCATGTGGGCAAAGCAGGAGCAGCCCCCCTAGGGAGGATGGAGGCAGGTCTCAGACAGCACTCAGACAGAGATGCTGGGGCCTCCTCACCGGTCCAGGCTCCACTGGGGGCTGAAGGAGGCAAGGGCCTTCTCCTGTTGGGAGAACACAGGGGAGGGGGAGATGAGGCAATGCTGAGCATCCCTGAAGCCTCTCTAGGGTGAGGCATTCCATATCTATACATGTCCTTGGCCTTGAGCATCTGATGTGTTTCCCCTGCTTCTGATGACTTCCTCTTTCCATCAAATCCCACCTACCCTTAAGGGAAGGGTCAAACCACATTTATTCCTTAAAGGTTCTTCCGGACTCTTCAGACACCCAGGGTTCTTATGCTCTTATTTCCTCAGTTTCTACCACTTAATGAGACAACCCTGTAGGTTTGAGGGATGGTCGTCTTCCCTAGGGACTAACCAAATCCCAAAGGCGGAGACTTGCCTATCCCCCCAGCATGCCCAAAGATCCTTGTTGGTTTAAATTGAGGGACAATGCCAAACATTCTGACTCCCTTGTGGTCAGGCTGAGCTGGGGCGTGGTGGGAGCAGAAAACAAAAAACCTAGAAGGAAGGGAAGGAGGAAGGAAAAAACCAAACCTGGTCACACTCATTCTTTTCCGCAGTAAAAGGAAGGCATGCTGTGTGCAAAGAATCAAAAGCAAGCAGACAAGTAAAGCCCCAAGAAAGAGAGCGAAGCACAGCAGCCACTGCCCAGGGCCAGATGTCTGGGGATCATTCTTTCCTGCTCCCCTGGCTCAAGTGAAGGCAGCAGTGTCACAGGGGGCCACATTGTCCCCACAGACCCAAACCTGGCATATAGGAGAGGGATAGGGGAGGAGAAGGGAGATTAAAAGGGATGTTCTAGGTAGGAGCCCATCTATGCATCTCGGTCTGAGCCTACCTTTTTTTTTTTTTTTTTAATTTTTTTTTTTTAAGATTTTTTATTTATTTATTTGACAGACAGAGATCACAAGTAGACAGAGAGGCAGGCAGAGAGAGAGGGAGAAGCAGGCTTCCTGCTGAGCAGAGAGCCCGATGCGGGGCTCGATCCCAGGACCCTGGGATCATGACCTGAGCCGAAGGCAGAGGCTTGAACCCACTGAGCCACCCAGGCGCCCCTAAGCCTACCTTTTTTCAAACTACCTTGCTCAATGCCTATATGTTATTCGAAGGCAGGGAAAACATTTTATTCATTTCTGTCTTCTCAAGAACTAGCTTAGCGCCTGCCACATGGTAAGTGGTTTAAGATTGTGTAAGGATGGGGGCCCCTAGGTGGCTCAGTGGGTTAAAGCCTCTGCTTTCGGCTCAGGTCATGATCCCAGGGTTCTGGGATCGAGCCCCACATCGGGCTCTCTGCTCAGCAAGGAACCTGCTTTCCTTCCTCTCTCTCTGCCTGCCTCTCTGCCTACCTGTGATCTCTGTCAAATAAATTAAAAAAATAATAATAAAATTAAAAAAAGATTGTGTAAGGATGGATGGATGGATAGATGGTTGGATGGATGGATGGTATATACTAGTATCAACCGTGTGCCAACACCCCAGAGGTTCCCATTGTAAGGGTAAGCTGATGTGATTCTCAGGTTTTCTGACATCTGACTGAGGGCTTGGCACTTCAGGGGGTGGGAAGTGAATTTCTGGGCTGGTGAAGTCCTGACTTGGGAGATACCCTTGAATTAGGGGTTCCTACCTCTCTACCCTGACACTTCTTAGCCTGCACACTAGTGGGTCTTGGGGAGGTGTGGCGTGGGTTCTGGGGGGCATCTCACCACAGGTATTACACCCAACACTGTCTCACAGTCCCTGGGCTCCCATCAAAGCCCACCCTCTACTCTATCTCCCCCTGGGGGGCTTCATCCTGCAGGGGTCAGAAGGGTCTTGGATTCTTTCTTCCTCTCCCTCCTGCCCACTAAGCCCTTCTGGCCCTTCCCCTACTCTATGTTAAGGCTCAGTATTAGGTATTCTCCTGAACCACTGCTGCCAAGCTTCCCCCTGCCCCCACCCCACTCCACAGTGCTCACTGATCTCTGGCCTGCTTTCCTGCTGGGTGGGTGGGGTGGGGAGATAGAACACAGAAAGGGTACTCTGAAGTCATCCCACATACCCAACTGGGTCTACCCAGTAGAGAAGATTCTAAGCAGAAGATATGCAGAAAGGTGGCTGGGAAAGTTTGGGGAAGATCAGGTGAAGTGGAGGAGAGCAGGTTGAGGAAGCTATTCCTGGGGCAAGCCTTTGGGGACATGCCCTCAGTCCCTGCAAGAGAGGGTTCTGGCACTTGTTACCAAGCATCAACCCTGAGAGCCAGCTAGTCAGGGAGATAAAGGCTCCTGCATCAGCTAGTGGGTCACCGATGAGCTGAGGGGGACACGCACAGGATCAACCAGTAATCCACCATCCCCTGGTGTCCTCTCTTCCCTCTCTCCCTGACCCCTGCCTGCTCAGGATGACTTCCTTCAAGGCCATGTGAGATTTTCATTGTCACCTCATTTTATCCTCACACCAATGCTGGAGAGTGGGACAAGAACCGATTTGCCCGCACCTTCCCAGTCCTAGTGAGGATGAAAAGAGAGGGTCCAATCTCAGGAATGGAGTTGGACAGAGACATTTCCCAGTGGGAATGGCTGTAAGCACTGGCTTCAGACCCAGGATGAGTGTGGGCTATACCTCTGTGGTACTGATGGAAGGGGGTTCCCGAGTGGAGGCTGGGGAACAATGGACATAGTGTCTATAGGATTTTGTATCTCAGGTGAGCTCAGAGGGCAGAGATCTTTGCCCTTTCTTTGGAAGGAAGGGCAAGGAAAGGCCTGAACCAGGGCCTGGGGCAACCAGACAGTTCAGGGCCTCGGGATGTTATCAAGTGACTCACTGGTGGTGAGGAGAGGAAAGTCGGAAGGGGTGGTGAGGGTGGGGTTATTAAGTGCTAGGGCTCAGATGGAGATGCACTTACCGGGAGAGGGGTAGAGGTGGACACAGGGCTCTCTAGGTGGCTCAGGTGGGCAAAAGGCTTGGCCGCGCCCCAGGACTCCAGGTAGCGCGTCATCAACAGTGATGGACGCATCTTGGGGCCCTCGAGAGAGGACAGCAGCCCTCCTGCAGTGCCCTTCTCATCCTCCTCCTCAGCCTGGGGCATATGAGAGCTGAGAGTCAAGATCACAAATGCGTTCTACATTCTCCCCACACCCCTTAGAAGGTTGGCTCTCCTCCCTGCTGATGCACACACTGGAATCCAGGAATTCAATGTTTGGCATAGGAGAAGAGATCAGGCCTGTCAGCTGTGGGTGGTTAGTATGGGCCAGCCCATGGGGTCCAGGCTGGGCTTTTACCCGGGGATCGATGACGAGGTAGGTGGGCTCCCCTAGCTCCCGAAGATATGGGTCCCGGTGTTCCATGGATACATCCTCCACAGCGTAGGCCCCTGCTAGCAAGGCCAGGGTAGCCCCTGTAATATGCACTCGTCTGGAAAGAGGGGTCAGTGAGAGTCAGGAGGGAGGGCCTGCAAACCTCTCATTTTTTTCCCAGGGTCCTTCCTGGAGGTCTGACCTTAAACAAGGCCCTGTGCTCCCAGAGGTGTCTCCCAGCACCCCTCCCTGCACATTAGGATCTCCCTGAGCCCCAGGTAGGATTGTGCTCATTTTAGGGAACTATGAATAGGATGGCAGCACATGCGAGGCCTGGCTGGTTTCTTCCTGTGGCCTCCTGCAGCCCCACGTCTCACCCTGGCACGCCACCCGCCTCCATGTGGTTAGCCAGCGTGACATCATGGGACCAGACGTCATACTGCCACTTCTGCAGCCCGATGACTCCACAGAGCACGCTGCCCGAATGCACGCCCACACGCATGTTGATGTCCACGCCAGTGGCTGCGCGGAGTTTCCTGAGCAGGGTATGCAGGGGACAGTCTGAACACTACCTTCGGCACCTATGCATGCCATACACCTCCCTCTCTCCAAGAGGTCCTCCAGTACCCTGCCTGCTCCTCCCCCACATCCATCCCTGGGTAGCCCTCCTGCCCGCCCACCTGAGCTGACCTGATGGCCCGGCACATGTCCAGTCCCATGCGCACGCAGTTGATGGCGTGGTCGGGCAGGGAAAGTGGGAGCCCAGAGACACAGTAGTAACAGTCTCCCAGAATCTTGATCCGCATGCATTCATGCTCCTGGGAGTGTGTGTGTGTACAGAGGGAGGAGGGGCACCTGGTTAGAGGTCAGAGGAGGCACGAGGGGGCTGGGACAAGTGGGAGCAAATGGTATTCCTGAACAACTTCTGAGGTTGGAAGTCTCTGAGTCAGATCTAGGGATTCCCTTAACTTGATATGGGGCTGGCTGAGGTTGGTGGCTCTCCCCCAGCTTTGGCACGTGTAGGGTGTATTCAGATTTGAGCACATGAGTGTGGCCTCAAGACTGCAGTTTTCTGGGGGAGACCCAAGATTAGGTTTGTTGGGGGGGCATCCCTGGGGTCTGAACAGGAGGCAGTGCTGGCCTGGACTGATGTTGCATGAGGCAGAGACTTCCCTTGGAAAATCTAAGATTAAAACATCTGAAAACCTCTCTAGATTTGGTTGTAGTGTCCAGAGACCCCCTACACTGAGGGCTTGAGCATATTTAGGGGTGTTGTCATTGGGGCATTTGTGGGGCATTGTTGAGAATTCTCTCCAGGTTTGAGGTGTGTGGTGAACAGCTCCATACCTGGGGTTGTTTGAAAGGGTTTCCTAGTTCCATTGGAATATCTGCCATTAGAATACATGGGCTCTGAAATGGGACTGGGATCGTAGGTGGCAGGAGTTTCCCTTGTAAAGGGTTCTCCAGGGTGGGCATTTGAAGGTCCCTGGGTAGGGAGGGAGGTCCCCTCTGACCTTGGCAATCTGGTCGAACTTGCCAAAGAGCTCGTTGAGCATGAGCACCAACTCCTTAGGGGAGCACTCACTGGCCAGCCGTGTGAAGCCCACGATGTCAGCATACAGCACACTGGCAGGGCAGAAGGTGTCGGTGGGGCAAAGATCTCAGCCCATCCCACCTTCCCCTCTGGCCATCCTCTCTCATACCTGACTCCCTGGTGCCTCTTGACATAGAGGCTGTGGAAGTTGTTGGTGCTCTCTGGCCGTGACCCCTGTCCAGCCTGAAGCCGTGCCATGATCTCTGCCTTCATCTCTCGGGCCAAGTAGGCAGGAAGGATGGACAAGAGTAGGTGTTCCTAGAGGAGATCACTATGAACAACCAGCTTCTTGAAACCTAAGGCCAGCCTCCCAACAATCTAGGAGCTCACCCACTTCCCCAGCTCCACTAGTGTGCCCCAGAGTACTCCCCCAGGTCCTCCCCATCACATAGAGCTGGGCTTCAGCACCCCATCCTGCACTAAGGGACTAATCACCTTTAGGGACTGAACTCCCAGCACCAATGCCAGAATTAAAGTTCTTCATTTAGTATCATAAAAGTGCTTTTACAGGGTGCCTGGATGGCTCAGTGGTTTAAGCCTCTGCCTTCGGCTCAGGTCATGTTCTCAGGGTCCTGAGATCGAGTCCCCGCATCCAGCTCTCTGCTCAGCAGGGAACCTGCTTCCCTGTCCCCTGCCTGCTCTCTGCCTACTTGTGATCTTTCTCTCTCTGTCAAATAAATAAAATCTTAAAAAAAAAAAAAGGAGTAATGTTAAAAAGAAAAACTGCTTTTACAAGCTTCAGGGGTTTTGAGACTTAACTCTCCAAGGTGGGTGGTAGCCACGTTTTACAAAGGAGGAGAGAAAAGGGCAAGTAGCTTGCCCAAAGTCATTCGCCTTGCAAAGGAGCCCCCTTGTGTGATATAAACAACTCCTTTCTCAAACCCTGGTCCCGCCTAGCCTCCCAGGCCCAGCATACCTGGTGCTTCTTCTCAGTGTCCAGCCTCCGGCGCGAGTGGAGGGACCGAAGGGCCTCCCGGAACGTGGCGCGGAGCGCGCGCTCCATCAGTGCCTTGTGATAGGCTCCAGCCACGTTCCCGCACAAGAACAACACGGCGTTTGCTGCCAGCTGGGGGAGAGGATCAGCCTTAGAGGGTGCTGGCCGCAGGTGGTGGGGCAGTGGTTACGCGTGCAGCTGGAGTTTCTCCAAGAGGGTTGAGGAGGACTCACAGTTTGAGACTTAAGTATTTCCAGGCAATCGGTGCCACACTGCCATGCCCGTAGGGGGCGCTTTCCCGGCCCCAGTATCCCTGCTCTAGACTCAGTTGTGCACCAAAGAGGCCTCCTAGGTCTAGAAACCCTTGCACACAGGTTTCCTCTGCCTGGAATACCACCCCACCATCTAAGCCCCTCCGCGGCCCCCGAGCACAAAACCACTCAAGCTCCAATTTTTACATTCTCTCTGAAGGTTCTGTCATTCAAATCTGTCCCCACAACTCTGGTCCCCTGGTGAAGTCCCTTCCCCGTGGGCCCAGAGGCGTCTTCTAGTGTCTGCATCCTCTGGCTGCAGTGATGTACCAGCTCCCTGAGGGCACCGTCTGGGGCTATGGGTCTGTATTCTGTGCTTAGTGTGGCGCCCTGCCGTGGAGTCGCAGCTGGGCGAGCGGTCGGCGCATGCTCAGAGGAACCAATGGCGGCCAGTAGAACCAGTCCTGCGCACCGCCCGGCCCCTGGGTGCATCCTGTGCTACGTGCATTCTCACCTGGGGCAGCAGCGGCGGCCGGGAGTCCGGCTGAGGCCCAAGGTACAGCCCAAGGACCAGCAGGTGGGACAGTGATGAGGCAAGGCCCGCAGCTGTGGCATCCCGCATGCCCAAGGGCAACATGGCATACACCGTGAAGATGATGAAGAGAAAAAAGGACACCTGGGGAAGCAGAGGCACCGGAAGCTGCTGGCTGCTCTTGGCCTGGGTGTGCTCCTGCTCCCTGCTCCACCTGCCGCTCTTCTCACCTGGTCCCAGGCGCTCACCAGGCCCCCAGTGAACAGGAAGCCGTGGCCTAGCCCAAGTAGCGCTGCCCACACGAGGACCGATAGGGGACGTGTCCAGCGCTGCAGTCGTTGCTCACGGGAAGCCAGGCCCAGGAGAAGCGAGAAGCCACCCAGTGCACACAGCACAGTGGTCAGGAAGCCCGGGTCTGAAACTAGATCCTGTGGGGCGGGGGTGCTTGTGGAAAGGCTGGAGTGCGCAGGTTGGGGAGCTCCTCCAAGCTGAAGAGCAGGCAGCCCCCCAGGCTGCTTCGGAAAGTGTCTTTAACTCAAGTCAGAAAAGGAGACAGGGCATTTGGGTCGGCCATTCAGATTATCTTGAACCATAGGAAGTTGCCAAGAATCTGTTTTTAATCTACAGAGCCTGCTATCTCATATGATTCAACCTAATATCTCACTGGCACCCGGATGGGGAAGGCTTGGGCCATCTACCCAGAGTCTACCCATATGGCGCATTTGTGAATCCGGGACCTTTCTGAGCCTGTTTTCTTTCTTTCTTCTTTTTTTTTTTTTTTAAAGATTTTATTTATGTATTTGACAGACAGAGATCACAAGTAGGCAGAGAGGCAGGCAGAGAGAGGAGGAAGCAGGCTCTCCACAGAGCAGAGGGCCCCATGCGGGGCTCGATCCCAGGACCCCAAGATCATGACCCGAGCCAAAGGCCGAGGCTTTAACCCACTGAGCCACCCAGGCGCCCCCTGTGCCTGTTTTCTTATCTGTCAGGTCGGAATTAGAATACCATCCTCGGGTCCGCATGCAAGTGAAAAATCCTACCTCATGGAACACTTAGGAATGAGTGTATCCAAATCTGGCCAATTTGCTTAAGGAGATTTCCTTCCCTGGGCACAGGTCTGGAAGCAGCCCCTCCCAGCCCCAAGAACCTCCCTGGCAGGGGTGGGGGTTCAGGGGGGAGCCCTACACTTTCACCACCCACCTCTGGACGTGGACCTCCTGCCCTGTCCCTGTCCTGTGTCTCCACCTCTTTCTGGACTTCCAGGTGGCCCAGCAAGAACTGGTCAGTTTAGTGGCTTCTGCAGCTTACCTCCAAAAAGTGAAAAGAAAACTTGGAGCAAGATATTTCCAGAAATGGAATTGAAGACACCCTTTCTCAAAAAAAAAAAAAAAAAAAAGAAAA